CACGAATTCGTCGATGTAGGCGACCGCCGTATCATGGTTGAAGTGCCTATACTCCTGACTGAAGCCTCTTAGCACCACCTTTGTCGTCATGCAGCTCAGCTATGCCTCGTGCGACGCGAATCTGACGGGTTTGAAAAAGGTGCTGATTGGCTTCGACGGCGCCTTCAAAGCTTTCGGCTTTTTCGGTGCCATGGCCATGGAAACGACGACGATGCAGAAAGGCGGCACGGTGGCGTGCTCTTTTAGCATATGCAATGCGCAATTCCGTGGCATTGTGTAGGGGTTGGCAGCGTGTTTTCTGAGGTTAGTGTGGCTGAATCAGACCTGAGGTCGACGATAGCACCATGTTGACTTAGAAAGTGCATTCCAAGTATCACATCCCTGGATTAGCTTTGCAAGATTACAAAGCTCGTAGGATAAGTCTGGTTATCGATGGTGATTCTTGCTGTGCAGACTAGAGTCAGCGCTTTCAGTGACCTTCAGGAGTCCAGATTTCGGGGCCTTGCCATGCAGTCTTCACGTTTTTCAGCTTCGTCACGAAAGACCCACCGATGACGGAATAGTCGGCTCCAGTATTGTGTGTGACCGAGTCGGCTCCAGTCGGCTCCAGTCGCTGGTTCGCTTTCGTTCGTTGCGGTTAGGTCATGTTGTCGGTTCATGGCTACGTCTATTTGCTCCGCTGCTTCCACGTTGCGTCGTGATGTCTTCGGCAGGCTGCGAAGGTTCAACGCCAGGACCCTTTTTCTCTTGCGGCGGGTGGTTTCGATTTTGCGGCGGCTTCGTCATCGGTGGCAGCGGAGGATCTTCAGAGTTCATCGTACAGCAACCACACCTCCATCGGTTGCTGCCTTTAGTTTTCCGAGTAAGGGCTCTGAGATTGGCCCCACACAGAGCCGGTGTACTGCCAGTGGTGCGGTGAGGCGTAGCGGCCTGGTGACAGCGAACGATAAGAATGTTGGAATGTCGACTGCGCTCCCGCGAGGTAGTAGGCGATGTCATGCGGCTGTTCACTCCGCTGTGGGCACGGAGCGTTCATGTCGATGCCTCGTATACCAATCTGTCAGTACTGGCAACGGCGGTAGGTGTGCCCGGCCTCACTGCAGTGGTCGCAGAGCGGGTGGTTGTCAGGTGCCCGCAAAACATCAGTTTTTCTCGATGCGCTGCGCTGGCCCGCTGGCGAACGGTAGGACGTTAGTGGTGGTGGTGGCGGTGGTGGTGGCGTCTGGCGACAAAATCACGACAGGGCGGCGTTTTGTCGTGGGCGTGAAGGAGGGGCGTGAAGGCGGGCTGCAACAGCATAGCTCATGGCCTGTGGCTCGGGCTGTGCTGGTTCGGGTGTCCGGAAAAATTGCCGTAATTCCTGGCGTACAACATCGGCGATCGGGTCGACGCAATGCTGTGAAGTCGGCAACATTTTACGCAGCTCTTTCCGTACGATTGCTCGTATTGCTTCGAGAAGGTCGTCAGAGCCGAGAACATGAAGAGCTGGGCTGTCTTCGATCGTTCGCCGATTGTACCAGCGGGTTCACATTTCCAGCGTCTTCTCGATTGATCTTGCTGACAGAAATTCCTGAACGGTCCTCGGGGGGTTTCGGATCAGTCCAGTGAAAAGTTCTTGCTTGACCCTTCACATGTGAAAACGGACTTTTTTCTCCTTGAGCATTCTAGGGTCCGAGTGATGGAAATGTCGCGTCATTTTTTTTACGACGATTGTTACATTTTAATTTGGGAATAACATTCTCGCTTCCAGCAGCGTCGCAGCTCTTTTCTTGCGGGCGATGCTCCTGAACGCAGTCAGGAATGCGCCGCGGAAGAGATCTCATGTTTGAAGGGCATGCTCCCGATTTTCGAATCAGGTCCTAGCCGCGTCTTCTTAATAAAAGTAGACGCGGCGTAACTTCTCTTCTGTGTCCCAGTGGTTCAGGGCGGCCACCTGGTCGTAGGTCTCCACCCAGGTCTCCGGATATTCAAACGATGACCCCCAGAAAATCGGTGGTTCCCTTGGCTGCTGCATCACGATCTCGGGCTATGGCGCCGCAGTTGTCATTGTAGCCGCAGTCGATGTCATGGTCTTGGTCTTCCAAGCCTTGTCTTGTAGATGGCTGTACTTCGGTGGTAGACCCTGCTGCCTGCGGCTTGTTGGACGCTCGTGGCTGGCGTTGGTGTCTTCATCACGGCGTGGGCTGGGTTCACGGCTTGACGGGGGCGTGCGGTACATGAGGAAACCAGCACCTCCACCAAATGCCACGGGGTCATGACGTGCTGAAGACCGGAGACTGTAGCCCCGCCGCGGTGGTCTAGTGGCTAAGGTACTCGGCTGCTGACCCGCAGGTCGCGGGTTCAAATCCCGGCTGCGGCGGCTGCATTTCCGATGGAGGCGGAAATGTCGAGGCCCGTGTGCTCAGATTTGGGTGCACGTTAAAGAACCCCAGGTGGTCAAAATTTCCGGAGCCCTCCACTACGGCGTCTCTCATAATAATATGGTGGTTTTGGGACGTTAAACCCCACAAATCAATCATCAAACCGGAGACTGTATGTCGAGATGAAACTGTTTATTTGGGTGAACTTGTGCCCGGTGAACAGAAAGTCGGATTCCAGTAGCAGTGTTGCACTGATAGCGGCGAACGGAGCGTCAGCCGTCGGTCAACTGACAAGCGGCGAAACGTGTCGACATTTATACCCTCGCCATCGAATATTCTAGCATTATCGCTAGCAGCGACGCAGGTTCCCGAATGATCTGTGACGTTCCCGATGGGGGCGTAAGCTTAACAAAACGATCTACTAAAGACTCCAAGCTTTTCAAACATCATAGGCGTGGTTTGCGCTGATTGTAGTGTAACGGAGTTACACAAAAAAAAACATCAGGAAAAGAACGTGGCAATATGAGTTTGAACACGCAAGCGTGTGACGAATAGCCTCGCACCCTACATCGGCTGATTCGCTGCGGCCGTTGTTGGAAGCAAAGTGGAAAGGGCGGTGCGCGTCTTGTACTTGTTGAATCTTTCACCTAGGTGTGGATTCGCTCGCAGGATTTCAAGCTGGACGGTTGTGCCCTCGCGATCTCCGGCATCAGCGTAGCTCCCGCCGACTGGTTCGCTCTCCGCGGTCTCCTGACGCCGTGCAGCTCTCGCATTGTGGCGCCCCGCCCTTGGACTGCTTCGACCGGATCCCCACTTTCCTATCTCCTTCTTTTTTCCGCTGCTTGCCTGTCTTCTTCTCCGTCTATTTTCCTTCTATTCTTTTTATCCCTCCTTCCCCCCACCCCTATAAGGCACTGCGCCATGTCGCCTGAAGGCAGACAGAAATTAGGTGCCTTTTTCCTCTTCATTCTAACCACTACCTAGGTAAAATTGGCATGGTCAATGAAAGAGATGGATTCTCCGCTCGGTTACAAAACGCACGAGCTAGAGCGTCCGCCCTTTCATTGCTTCGAGATTCTAGCTCACCAGCGCTTCACGCGTCAAAAATGTGGAACACCTCACAGATCCCTTAATGGGGAAGAGGCCACTGACCTTAGAAAAATTCAAACGGATGTATTTCCGCACCTACTGAAGTTACACGCGATACATCCAACTCTTTACCCGGCTGTATGTCCGTGGTGCGGCGGAAGACCGACTCTCTACCACATATCGTGGGGGTGCGATCGTAAACCAAGCGACATAACCAATTTTCTCGGCGAACCTTTAACACCTAGTATGGAGCAGTGGGAGGCACACCTCGCTAGCTCGGACCCAGGGGTGCAGCTCGCACTACTGGATCAAGTCCGGCGGGCGGCTAAGGCCAGTGGAGCCCTGGACGTAGGGCCCCAACCATAAAGGCTCTAAAACGCCCCTCTCCCTTTCCCCTTCAATAAAGTTTTACTCTCTCTCTCTCTAACCACTACCACCACCACCTAGGTCTCTCTGCTGCCAAATAGTGGCTTATTGCCTGTTAGTGGATGCCAGCAGGGATATGAACTCGCATAGCGCGCACAGTCACACCGAATCACCCATGTAGCTGCTGATAGATCAGCTGTGACCTACGCTACCATGATGTCATGCCTGTATAATACGTAAGGTGGTGTTGGGTGGGCATTATGGTGCACGTGTTTCGGTTACTTTGCTTTTTGTGCATTTTTCTTCTTGTTATTGTCACTAGCGACAGATTGCAAGCAATGATCTACCATTTGCCCACAACGCTATCGAAGCGGGAGTGCCAACAGACCCCTCTTCTCCCGTCCGGTTTCGGCAGTGCCATTCACGTAATTCACGTAAAACACGTAAAGTTTGTCACGAATGAGTGCTGGTGTGTGTACCGTTGAAATGAAGTTAACGGAGATGCAGAGATTTGGGTGGTGCACCATATTATTTTATAAATGACATCTATCTATCTATCTATCTATCTATCTATCTATCTATCTATCTATCTATCTATCTATCTATCTATCTATCTATCTATATATATATATATATATATATATATATATATATATATATATATATATATATATATATATATATATATATATATATATATATATATATCTGTCTGTCTCCTTCTGTAAACTAAACGGCTGTTATATTATTCAACATGTATTATAAAATTATCATGCTATGTACTCAAGGTCACAAGGCCATGTTATGAAATACTACGCAATCATTCAAAGCAAATGATGTCCCGCGTATTGTCCCACGTTTTGACATGAACATTCCTAGTTAGTAATGTTAAATAGATATTGTAACTATGCAAAATAGCTAACAAAATAGTTTATAAAATTGAATGAAAAAGAAAGTTGGCTCCAGTCCATTGACGTCGATGGAATAACTGAACTGTACAGCACGTGTCTGCCGACGCTTAAAGAAAAAGTATAGGCCACAAACTCTTTTACCACTCGTGTGAAGTTTATCTGTATACATATACCATTTTGGTTTCTATCTTAATTACTGCAATAAAATCCACTAGAAACGATACTCCCCACGTCTCATGCTAAGCAAAATTGTATTTTTTTCTTTTTTCTTTAGGGGAAACAAGGAAAATGAATACACCGTTACACCTCTGCAATGATGGAGCAGTTCGTTTATGGCGCTATGCAAGGTTGCTGGATAGTGAGGGAAAAAAAGTAGAGGTGAGGACGCAAAAGAGTTGTTGTGTTCACTGGTTATGTGACCTAAATATGATTGTTTCAGAACGCCAAGACCACGACGCCTATGAAAGTAATGCATGGCAGTAAAATAGAAGGTGACAACCTCCTTGCAGGCAATGATGAAACATGCATTTGAAGATGCCTGAAGTTAAACTAAATAAACTTTGAAAATAAAATAATAAATATAAAACTGTTGTTTCTCCGCAAGGTCAAAGCAATGAATGCGATAGAAACCAAACAAGTAAAAAAATCAGTTGCTCTTGAGGGCACAGCATGAATGTGATAGCAACAAGAGAGTGCGTGAAACAAGTTTACTTGGTTCACGGCAATAGGCGCGCGTTAACTTGGGGTCACCATAGCAACAAGTGCTACAGTCGTGCGAAGTAAGGCTACAGCAGCTAGCGTTTTCAACCAAATGTCATGTAACTCTATAAAACTCTAGTTTGAGGAATACGGTCACTCTAAAACCGACGCGATGCTCGTGCTGTGAGTTCGACAAACGCTGACGTTGCGAGCACAGTGAGTTTATGAGCCGTCTCCTGATGCCTGTCAAAATTACATGACATGTGATATGACACGTGCTATTGGTGCCGAATGAATGTCAAGACTGCAATGCCTGTTAAGATTACACTACGTGTGATAAGACATGTTCTATCTGCGGCCGATGGAATCCCAAGACTACGATGTCTGTGAGAAATAACAAGACATGTGATAGTAGACGTGCTATTGGCGCCGAATGAATGCCACGACTACGTTACCTGTAGACGTTGTATGACGTGCAATATGACACGTGCTGTCGGCACTACAATAAACGCGAGCAATAGTCTGCGCCGAGCTGTTTTAATGCGAGAGCGCTAAATGACTCATTTCACAGAAATTCCGGCATCGGTGTCATTGTTTGTGGGCGAAAAATTGTCATTTTGTGTGTGACCAAGAAATATGCAACCATTGTAAAAAATAAAAATTGTGCAGTTTAGTAGAAATTGAACCCGGGTAGTTTACCTAAAAAGTGGGTGTTCTGCCCCCCCCCCCCCTCCACACATAGGCGCGTACATCAAACCACGAGCACAACAGAAACAAGCAGTAGCAGTCCGACACAAACTGAAATTCCTTAGGTGCTGCCAAGGGCTTTACGCTCGACAACCACTCAGATACAATCTCCTGAGTTTTCTGCAGTTCAACAAACTTGGCCATACATTCACGAAAATACATTCGTGAAGGCCGTGCATCCTGATCGCAATAAAAACCCGCTATACGGGCCCGCCATTAAGAGTGAAGGCCACATAGCATAATCAAATCAAAAGGTATTCCCTCTTCGTCCACTATTGGCAGAAATCTTATAACCACAATATTTTAAAGGTAATTCCTTCTTTAACGTCATTTGAAGTAAACCCCAAAAATATACTTCCTCCCAACAAATTAAGAAAATATGGTCTCCGGTTTTTCACAGATAAGACAAAATGTCTCCCAAAGTGAGTAAAAACCACGGTCTGCTTCAAATGTCCTGACAGATAATGTACCTGTGTGCAGCTTGAAAAAGAAGGACTTCGCGGCAGGAGCCACTTGCATTATCTTGGCTCGTTTAAGCACACCTTGTCCCTGACCTGCAGTGTACATGACGCGGTACAGGGTTTCAGGTAAAACAACATCACACATATCTTTGTACAACTTTTTGTGAGTCACTGAGAGCAAATAATAATTCGAAAATCTAACAGATAGATACCGTACACCTAAAATAACCTGCTTAAGATACCCGCGGACAGCACCGGTCATGTCATTCGTGGTAACCACATATCTAGGTAAAGCCCGCATCAGTCTCAGTTGGCACACTGTACTTAAGAAAGGATGCCTTGTGTAACGAAAAAAAAAAGAACCTATTTACGACTTGGCGTATGAAAAGATGTGGTAAACCCAGCCCTCCGTGTTTCCATCTTCGAAACAGATTAGTTTGGCTGCATAGTTTCCAGTTCGAGGGCTACACGAACACTGCGAAGGTGCGATGGAGTTTTTGTATGTTTGCCCTTGAAAAATGCAATACTTGAATCACATACCCAAGTTTTGAGGCAAAAAAAAAAAAGATTACACACACTTGCCCTCGAAAAAACTGACAGATGATTACCGTTGCATTAATCGCTTTCGTCCGGATTTATTTCGCTTGTTCTTGCCAGTAGTTTTCAATATATTTATAATCTTCCAGTGGTCCCCTTAGGTACTTTACAGGTGTTGTCACCCACTTAACGTTCGCAAAATAGTCTGGTCTTGACGACCACTCCCCATGCCAGAAGCCCAGACGGTTTCCCTAGTTTACTAGACTGGCAGTTGTAGTGCCAAGCCATCTAACTACAGTGATGGTTCAGCAATATCGGCAAAGCGATGTAAAGTTTTCATCTGTTGTGAAGCTGTAGGCATACCAGGTAGACAGGATGACTCTTATGGGTAAGCAGAAAAAAATAGCAGTGCTGTCAAGCGTTCGAAATACAAAAGCCCCAGCAATGTGAGGGAGTTGTCATTTCCAAATCAAAAATATGCTGTTGCGACGTTCTCCCAGAATGAAAAAAAAAATGGCAGCATATTATCGGGGTGAATGATGGAGAGTGGGGCCAGAATCCATACGTCCATTCGTTCTTGCTTTCGTGCCTCCATGTTTCCGCCGGTGTGACCGTCCATACGTCCACCCACCCGTTCGTGCGTGCGTCTGTTCGTGCGTCCGCACGTCCATCCCTGCGTTCGTCCTTGCATCCGCTCCTGCGTCCGTCCATGCATTCATCCGTCCGTGCAGCCATCCGTGCGTCCTTCCATGCATCTCTCTGTGTGTCCGTTCGTCCATCTAATCAGCACTCTAAGTACCACCATCTCGCATCTTTTCATCATATATTCCCCATATAGAAGCACCGCCATCCAGCGGACATTCCAAGGACTAAACGAGAGTTGGCACACGCACACTTTCTTACGGCTTGCGCTTCGGGTCTACTTCCCACCTTTAACCACCTAGAGTTCTTAGTATATACTAGTTCACTGTATTCATGGCACTGCGACCCAACGCATATGGTTGAACGGAAGAGTTCAACTATATGCGATGAGAACATAACTATTGAAAACGAAGGCGAAAGCGCACGTACTTTGTACAAAGGGGGCGGAACTTTTATCTTGCTATGATGCATTATCTTACACTCTAGCTGGGTGATGTCAAAATTTTGATGTTTCGGCGTTTTAATGCTTCGGTGTTTTGATTTTCGGCATTTTAAATTTCCGGCTTTTTATGATTTTAGGTGTGTTGAATTTTCGGTGTTTTAAATTTCAGCATTCCGATAGTTCGCCCTTTCGATTTTCGGCGTTTTGAATGTTACCCGCTGTTGCCACTCATGTGGCACATGCATGATTCGCAATACCAGCCGCAAAAAAATGACCGACGAAGATGGACACACACGCACACACACACACGCACACGCACGCACACACACGCACACACACGCACACACACAAGCACACGCACACGCGCACGCACACGCACGCACACGCGCGCGCACACGCACACACACACGCACACACACGCACACACGCACACACACGCACACACACGCACACACACACGGTGTGACCCACTATGCTCACTTTGTTGCTTGATGTCGAAAACGTCGGCAACAATGATAAGAATACCTCGCCCAAGCTCTTATCGCTGTAAAATTCACAGTGTCACTAATATAAACAGTTTTCGAGTGACATCACCGACAGGTTCTCTGCGCTAGGTACCTCAACATGGCATCCACCGTAACGTATCGCATTAGAGAGTGTCGGTGCTGGGGAGGACAAAATAGTTGTTCTGTCCCCGCGTTCTTTTGTGCTCTCCCCGCACACAAAAGAACACGAAAGGGGACTGGCACTAATCTCATGTCACCGTTTCTTCCTCCACGCTTTCGAGTAAGAGTTCACGCAACATATCAACCAGCTGGTACTACAAGATGGCAGCCATGGCGGCTTCATTGAAAACTATCTATTTTTACTTTTCGTCCCTGAATATATTCGTCATGCCTATTTCGACTTTTCAGTAGGAGCTGTTGATTCTTCGAAAACCATACAGGCAATGCATAAAGATTCACAGCTTCAAGGAGTAAATGGGGAAGGAGGGAAGGTCGTTCAAAAGATCCATCGGTCTTTTTGAATGGTTGAAGAGGTACTGGCCCTGGTCATTTGTCCACTCACCTGGAGAAATTCACGTCTATCAAAGTTAATTCATGAGCATAAGCCACAGCATCAACAAAGCTTGCCGTACGTCGGCGGGTGTTGCCGTAGCGACACGTAAGGGGTACTTCGTCACTGAGACGAAACGTAGGAGAACGCTCTTACGTTTCACACTTAAAGCGGAACACAGGCTTTTTTTCGATATTCACCTATTTTAGTAAAACTTTGAACATGTATTCGCCTCGGTACTGGGGTGATATGTGCTAAATTTTACAAGCGTGAGTAATTTAGTATTGTTAGAAAATGAATTTTAAAATATAGTAGCCGATTCTGGAATCACAGTTGTGAACGCGGGCCACCCTGTGCGTGTGACGCATGGGCATACTCATTTAGGGGCGAAGCTCCTTATGGCGTCGCTTGTGCGTCCCGTTGTGGTACGTATACTATGGCACATATCCACCCTCGGGCACATATCCGCATGTTCACATGTTACGAAAAACGTAGCACGGCATCGTTATCACACTCTCGGTGTTAACAAAGCGCTGACAGCAGAAATGTGGTACATACACTCGTGTAGTCCTTGGATTGTCCGCTGGATGGCGGTACTTGTATATGACGAATATATGATTAAAACAAGCGAGATGGTGGTACTTGTAGTGTTCACTAGATGGACGGACGTACGCATAGACGGACAGACAGAAACACGGACGGACGTATGGACGAACGGAAGCACGGACGCATGGACGGGCACACGTACGGATGTACTGACGCACGAACGGGCGCACGTATGGACGTAACGCACGGACGGAAACATGGACGGATTGATGAACACTTCGCCCCATTAATCATCATTCATTCCATGGATATGCTGTGAATTTTTCGAAGAACCTTGCCTTTCCCAGCAAACGAATGCAGTGCGTGTTTTCTTCTACGAGGTGGCGCCCAACAGTAGGCTTA